GACTTGGGTCCCATTCCCAGCACCCATATGGCCACTCACCAGTATCCGTAACTTCAGCTCCAGGGAATCCAATGCCTCTTTCTGACATACATGCAGACACACAAAAATATGAAATTAAGAATAGGTAAATCTTTTAAAAAAGTGTTTCAATAATATATGTAATTTAAATATGTATTTTAAAATGTACATAAATTTGTGGGTAATTTTATTTATGATTTCATATTTCACACACTCATTTTGAGGAAATTTTCTAATTCACAAGCTATCAGGAAGGAGGAACTTCCAAGATATTTGGTGTCTAAGGACTAAGAATATATATCCCAACTTACCAACTAGTGGGAGACCTTCCCATACTTTTCATTTTTCTATTGAACTGAAAAAAAGTGACTACTTGGATTGATGTGTAGACAAGCCAGTGTTTGTAATTGGGTGGAGGGTTGGTAAGCCTATTTACCAAGAGAAAAAGTAAAGAATATTGGAGACAGAACTCAAATTATATCTCACTAAAAGACAGAAATTAGAATGAAGTTTTGTAAGGTTTTACCTGAGAAATTTAAAAGAAATACTGTTTTCAAATCTGTGGAGGAACAAGAAAATCAAGATGTTTTCAGAAACTGTGACTTTTGGGGACATGCTATTGCATAAACGTTCAACATGTGTTCTAGTTTGCTTCTGTTGCTGTGAAAAACATGATCTGAGAGATTCTTAAATATTGCTAAGTTTGATTGCCTTACTACTAAGTAAGATTGAAAACCAGCCTTTGTCTTTTCTGGACCTCAACTTCTGTGGAATACTTCCCAGAAAATTTCACTTCAGTGACGCTGGTCTCTTATTTAGTCATAGCTGATTTTTCAGCTCCAGCTAACCAGCATTCATTTTCTCAATAAATCAAAGACTTCACTTCCATAGATTCTTTTTCTTTTTCCTCCCACAGATTGTTGATTCAAATATATCTCATGAACATCTCTGATAGAGTCTTTATCTTAAACTTCCCTCTGAAACACACAAACGAGGTCTCCCACAGAACAGCCATTTAAGCTCTGAGCACTCAATGGTTCTTCCAGATCAGTTTCAAACATTCCCAAATCTCCAAAAATAGCATGACCATCACACTCTCTGATTAGTTTCTGTTGTAGTAATAAACACAACAGCAAAAAGCAACTTGGGTAAGATAGGGTTTATTTCATTTTACCACTCCTAGGTCACAGTCTATCACTGAGGGAACCCTGTTCAGGAAGGAACCTAGATGTAGAACTCTAGAGACCATGCAGGAATGCTGCTTACTCTCTTGCTTCCCCTGGCTTGCCCAGCTATCTTTCTAATACAGCCCAGGCCTACTTGCCCACAATGGACTGAGCCCATCTACATAAATTATCAGTTAAGAAAATGACCCACAGACGTGCCTGCAGGCCAACCCAATGAAGGAAGTTTCTCAATTCAAGTTTCTTCTTCCCAGGTGTATCAACTTGACAACTGGAGCTAACTATGACACTGTACAAGTCTGGTGACCCACCTTTGATCCCTGGAATCCATATAAAGGTTGAAGAAGACAACTAACTCCTCAAAGTTGTTCTCTGACCTTCACACTCAAGTGATGGCATATGTGCACTCCCCATCTCCCATCATCTTACACACACACACACACACACACACACACACACACACAAAATTAAACATAATTAAAAAATTGTACTTTCTGTCTGTTTTTGAGGTGAGAGAAAGCTAACAGAACTACAAATACTTATGAAGTGGGTTGCTGCAGATGGAAAAGGGGAAGTGGACTCTAAGTTCTTGACTTGGGAGGTGGCCCTGTGGCTGTGGAATACGCTGTGAGGCTACTTTTCAGGATCATCATTGTCTTTCTTTGATAGCCTTGAAAATTTTCTGGAAGAAATGAGATAATTTTGGTATGAAGACAATGGCATTGAACTTGCTGAGCTTTCATTCATAAACATTTTAAAGTTGGCTTACTAACTCAGAAACCATCAGCAGTAGTGTGTGGCTTAGGAAAAAAGAACCCCCTGCTGCTGACTGTGAGTGAACCCTTCCTTGTGGATTCCTGGGTCTTCTCAACTAGTTTAAGTCCTACTGATGAGTTGGGTCCATGTTAGAAATGATAATTTTCCTTAAAATTTCACTGAAATTTTTTTTTAAGGTTTGAAAATTTGCAGTTCAATGTGTCTTCTTGAAAGCTGTGCTATTTCTTGAAAGAAAAGCCTCATATTTATATTAAAAGTGAATAGGATGAATTTGGACTCAAGATGTTTCCTTGGTTACACTAGACAGAGTTGGAAACTTTATGGAGCAAAAAGGAATATCCCAAGAGCTACAAAATCTCTGCATTTAAAATAAATCTTTGATATGTCCATTTCCCATTTTTGCTTATAACATGAGATTTAAGAACAGTCGTGAGCAACGGAACCCTTCCAGCACACTGCATTTGGCTCACTACCTCTTTAGGGTAGCTCCTATTTTCCCCCCATTTTACAAATAGAGACAAGTTTATCTAGTAGAGAACAACACCAGTAGAAGATGCTAAAACTCCTGTATCCCCTCACCTGTTGCTTCTGAGACTTTGATCTCACCCAAACTCTCTTCCTACAACCTCCTCTTTTGCTCACACAGATGTTAAATATTCTCTAGCTAAATGTGTTTTTTAATGAAGCCAGGAGGAGGAAGGACTCTTAGCATGGATGACATCATGAATTTTCAGTTCATTAACCAAATATAATTAAGTGCAAGTCCAAGAAATGCAGACCAAATACTGATCATCAGCTGTACTCCCCCAAATATTTTTTTGGCTTTAGCATGTTACTGGAGAAAAATTTTACCTCTGTGCTAAGACTGGAATCCATATGCCTCATGAGCTAAAGCTTTGAGGGGCCAGGGTCCCTAGCCTTGTCACCTCCTGCCTGGTTTGGTTCCCTGAACTTGGTGACAGCACTGACCAGTCCCACAGAGCATCAAGTCACATGGCCCTTCCGGCTTCTGACTGCATCTCTGGCTGCTTGCTAGGCAGACACTGAGCTTGGATCCATTTTTCTCCATCTCAGCTCTACTTCTCACTGAAGCTTTGGCTTTGAAAAAATTTCTGTGCTTTCTAAAATCTATTTTATTCATATAGGTGGAGAGACAGTGGTACTCTTTTATAAGGATTATGGAAGGTCATTTCATCAACTCTTTAAACACAGGCATATGTACCAAGAGACTCAATAGGTATTTCCTATTTCTGATACTCATATATTTATAAGAGTTAAAGCTATGCTTATTAATACCTCCCCAGACACTTCCCCCTTTTCTGGTGTGTGTAGAATGCTTGTGCATAACTTTGCGATTGCCATCTACACTAAGCAACTATTAAAGAGGCATTACAGTCTTCTTTGAAGATCACAATGAATCTAGATAGAATATAGTGAGGGCTCATTTTTTGTTCTATGATATTAATTCAAACCTTAATAGCTAATATTTCTGTAGTCATGAATTTTAGCATAGTTAATATAAATGAAATGTGCAATGTAAAATACTTTATTTAGATGAGATTAGGTGTATTCAGTGTGGTATGGCCATAGACAAAATACCTTATTTAGAAAAATACATACACACACTCACATAGTTTATGGCAACAGTTATGAACACATAACCCAAACTTAGATAAGTATCTAGGCATATTTCTTACAATGGCTACCTTCTCTGATTGTACACACTCTCTCACACACAGAATTAACCCACTGTACAGAGCATGGAGGTATCCCATGAACCATTGTGATCTGTATTTCTGTAGTCTGTTGATTTGGGTTCCTATGCATCTGACCTTAAAGGCTGCTTGGTACTATACCCTAAGTGGCCTCAATCTGCCATCTGAAGGAAGCTTAAGTAGCAAAGCAAACATTGTTACCAAACTGGAAGGCAGTGAATCGCAGCATGACCCTGTGGTGATAAAGTAATTCCATTAACTTTATACCAATAATTGAATGGATGACGCAGGTTATAGAACACTGAGTGGTAATCAAGGAAGACTGAAACGTCATATAAAGGAAGATGTTGCAAAGAGAAGAGAAGCCTCTTAGAGAGAAAAGGAGAGCCGTGGGTTTTATTTCATGTTGGACAAATGCTGTGAAGTGGATCTCCACTGATTTTGTTTGGAAGAGTTAACATTTGAAAACTGGTTTGAAAACACAACAAAAGGAGATGATTTTTCCCTTCAGTTATGAGGGCAACCCACAGAATTCCAACCAAACACAGCATCGTGCTCACCACAGGATGAGTCTGCTGACTTTGTTTAGCACAGATAGTGTACTCAGAGTGTTTGTCAAGTGTTGAATGTTTAACTATGTGTTGGAAACAGTTAAAAAAAGAAATTCAAATGAATTACTTCAAGTTTTTATTTAACACAAAGTAGATGCAAAAATGACTCTACATCAGCTTGTAAATGAAAAGGTATTTATAGTATGTGGAAGATAGTGTCGGACTTCTATTTGAAGCTTTCTGCTTGCTCCCCCAAGCAGATATTGATTGCTATAGCAGAGGGATTGAAATACCTCAGAAACCTTGATGGATGTTTAGAGAGTGACTGTGATGGTCACAGCTAGGGATATAGTTTAAAGCACTATGTAGTCAGTGGCCTGGCGCTTTCATTCCTGTGGCTACTCCAAATATGGTATTCACTATTTTAATGTAATTTCAGATAAATTAAGGGTAGTGTGTGTTCTAGGGTGTTGTTTCATGCATTGATGAATCAACACTTTTGAAATGGAATGAGAGCATGCCATGTGTGTTTAGTGAAGAATAAAGAGGAGCTCAAAGTCTAGATCATCAATGAAAACAACTTTCTTGTAACAAAATAAAAAATAATCACTCATATGTTTATAAATTTTGCTTCCACATTTATAATTTTCATCTAAAATTTTGTCTGCAGATGAGGATTGATGAAGGGAGAGTTGTCGTGTGCAGGCATTAAGACTTTATTTATTTATTTATTTATTTATTTTTTGTCTTCACAGGGTTCCCTGCCTTGACTGGAACAGGAACAATCAATGTCATTGTAGATGATGTCAATGACAATGTCCCCACATTTGCCAGTAACACGCACTTCACCACAATCTCTGAAGATGCCCTGACAGGAACAGACGTGTTGTTGGTGAATGCCTCAGATGCGGATGCAGCAGCAAATGCGGTCATAAGGTCTGTGCACCAGACTGCGTGAGCTTTGTTTTCTCACCAGCATTTGTCCTTGGCAAGAAATTCATATTAACACATAGTACTACTCTCATTATCTCTTGCCAACCAGCCCTGAATTGAGAATCAAGACAGTAACTTGATTTCTACTGAACTTTTTAACATATTAATTTTGTTTACTTCTTATGCTTTGTGGTGGTAAGGTGATAGTTTGATTTTTTTCTGCAGTTTGCTGCTAATTTCTTGACTGGTGACATTGTGGTTGAGCACAGCAGTGGAGAGCTCTGTTTTATGTGGCAGATGATGCTCAGTGGAATTCAGCTGTGGTCAGCATAGTTTCAGGTGCAGGTGCTTGGCTGGGAGGGTGGAGCTTAGGCTCAGCTGGGCCTGACTATTCACATAGACCTGCCGCTTCTCCCTGGGTACTTCTGCAAAGAATTTAACTTTTGACATGGTGCCTCTGAGATTCAAGAGATTTTGGTGAGAAAGGCTAGTTATGGTCCAGGTCAGGCCTGGAAGTGTCACAGTGTCACTTCCTGAATGCTCAAAGTGGAAGCAGCCAGCCTAGCTTCACTAATAGGATAAATATACCGCAGACCTGATGGGAGGAATGTTGAAGTTCTTGGCCATTTTTAACCCAGCCCTAATCCCGGCAGGAATGTTTGTTTTCTTCATGTCACTGCTAGACCTTATGTCGTCCTAACAGAGGACAGCAGCATGGTCTCTGCTCAGAAAGATGAGAAGGCAGCTGAGATGCAGCACTTGCTGCAGCAGTGTATCCTCTTTGAGCTCCTTTTAAAGTTATAAAAAAAAAAAAAACAATGATCTAGACAAAAGCCTCAAAGATACATATTTGCAGTTCTGTATAAGCTGTGTGAGTTAGAATGGCAAGAAAGCAAGAAGATAGAAGATAGAATTTGAAGAGGTCTGAGGAATTTACCACTCAACATAGGCTCTATATTGATAGGGTGATAGTTTGGTTAATGATTTATTTGTCACTTAATTAACTTCTCATTAACAAAACTATCTGGGGAAACTGGCTTCAGTTGGTCTCTTCTCACCAGTGGAGATAATTGAGTAGGAGGCCACAGAGACATTTTTCATTTAAGAAACAGTGACATGCTTGTATGAGCAAGTATCCAAACAAGCTAAGATTTATGCTTTCTCTGAACTTTCAGTCTTTGGAAGAAAGACTAGTAAATACAAATAAATAATATTTAATTCATAAATAATCAATCTGTGAACATGAAAGAGAATAATAATTAGGAGGGGCATGGAAACGTGTTAGATTTGAGCTTGCAGACGGTGTTTTTAGTCACTTTTTGTCACTGTGACAGATATCTGAGAAAAATCGCTTAAGGGAGGAAGGATTTATTTGGGCTCAGAGTTTCAGAGGTTTTAGGTTTGGCTCATGTTTCCAGTCCTGGGGTGAGGCAGACACGCACTGTAACAGGAACAGGCAGCAGAGAGAGCTGCTCATCTTATGATGGCCAGGAAGCCAACAAGAGTCATCCAGAGGAGCCAGGGCCAAGATATACCCTTCCATGGCACACCCCCAGGCACCCAATTCCTCCCACTAGGCCCCAGCTTCTACAGCTTCTCCATCTCCCAGTGGTCTATTCAAATGTTAGGACCATGTAAGGACCTTTCTTCTCTCAGAAGCACCCACAGAAACAACCCCGTGGTGTCCTTTCACAGTCTCCTAGGCATCTCTCAGTTTAGTGAAGTTACAATTAGGGTTAACCACCACAGCAACTGAGTTAGTTTGTGATACTTTAACAAAACATTGTAGATCAGGGATCTTATAACTTTCCTGAATTTCATATATGAGTTTTGTTTTTGCATTTTTTCATGCCTCCCTGCCCCCCCAACTCCTCCCATGTCCTTCTACTCCCTCTCAGTTTCTTGTCATGTTCTTTATTGTTACATATACATATATACATGTATATATACATATATATGCTACATATGTATGCTACACACACACACACACATACACAAAATGCAAAGTCCAATTAATGGTGCTCTTGTATACTTGTGTTTAGGATTGCCCATTTGGAATTAGATAACCTTACAAGGAGCTAGTTCCTGGAGAGAACTGATTCTCCATCCCTCAGCATCCATTGATTACCTGTAGCTCTTCATCTTGAGGTGGAACCCTGTGACATCCCCCCATCCACTTAGGCATGTCAACTCATTTTGTCATTATGTAGATGTTGTTAGACTACCATACATGGAGATTTCATTGGTGCAGCTTGCCTATCATGTCTGGACCTTCTGACATTTACGTTCTTTCCACCCCACCTCTTCTGCATTGTTCCCTGAGCCTTGGGTATAGAGGTTGCATTGTAGATCTGGCACTTAGGCTGGACACCTCAGTGTCACTTATTCCCTGCATTTGATCAGTTGTGGTACTTTGTAATAGTCTCTAACTATTGCAAAAAGATACTTCTTTGATGAATGGTGAGAGATACACTTGTCTGTAAATATAAGAATATGTATTTAGAATATGTTAAGAAGTTATGTTGGTTTGGGGAAGTGACAGCGGCAAGCTGTTTTCTAGGGTCTGTGATCTCTCCAGCCATATATGGCTATGTCTGCAGTACTATACATGATTTCCCTCCCATTGTGTGGGCCTTAAGTTCAATTAGACAGCTATTGATTAACCCCAAGATAAAAGTGCCACTACTGCACCACTGGAGATGGTGGTCATTGCTGGACCAGTCATTGTTGTACTTCATGGTGTTTATACCAGGTAGGAGCCTTGATATGTTTTTTTTCCCCTTGGCAGCTTGCATGGTATCTTCTTTTAATCAGAGTAGTCCAAGTTACTCCCAAAATAACACAGGCTATTGCCACAGCCCTTGACTGCCTCCCAGAACTTGAAGGTTAGAATCTGTTGCTGAAGACAGGACATACTTCAAATACAGAACTTTAAGGAAATGAGCTGTACTGACCTGGAAACCTCATCCCTGAAGACTGGCTCTCATAGTTACCATGTTACTTTTTAAATCAGTGTCTCTCATTAAATGGGGGAACTCAAGGATCAGGCAGACAGGCTGGCCACCAAACCCCAGAACCTACCTTCCTTGGCTCTCCACTGCTGGGGTTCTAAGTGCACACCACTGTGCCTGGCTTTTACGTGGGCCCTGGCGATTTGAACTCAGGTCCTCATGCTTGAACAACAAGCACTTTTCTCACTGTCATCTCCCAATCCCAAATTTTTATTTGAGTATAGCTTGAGGTGACTCTTAGTCCTTCACATAGATATGCCAGTCAAGAAGCTGGAGAGAAACAACCGAAGTGCTTTAGGTAGGGTCAGTGTGCCTCATTGACTTTGGGGACAATTCCACTCTGTACTGGAGGAAGTAATTTGGAGAAAGGGTAGCCAGAGTCAGCAATGGAATGGGATAAGCCAGTGTGACCATTCACTTGCTGTGCTGGGCAATATTCCTTTCCTTACAATCTCTCACCTTCAGTTTGCTATGGCCTATTGCCCACTCTTCATTTTTCCAACCCTCCATAAATGGCCCCAGCATCTTTCCAGGATTATTCTGTCAAATCCCCAAACATTCCTGCTCCCAGGAAAAGGATCAAGCCTTTCCCAAGTGAGCCAAAACTGGCCCAATGTTGCATTTGTAGGGCTTGTTTGGAACCCAACCACACCCATCTGGATGCTCACTGTCTGAGGCTGTTTGGGCTTTGATGGCTAGTCTCATGTTGCGATAGACATCTTGTGGTCCAGGATGCTGAAAACATTTACTATTGGAACCTCTGTGGAAAAGCTTTACCAGTCACGGGCCTGGGACACATTCTTTCTTTCTCCCTTTGATAATAATGTTCTATTATAAGTCCTTTTAAGACTTATCTTTAAGTTAGGCTTTTCTGAGGAGACTTGATTTTAATCATTGTAGTTAAAAATGTTCTGTATCTTTGAAATTCCTAGTCTAGCACATATTGAAAATTTCACAGCATTTCAGTCTATTCCTTTGTTTTGTGTAGGCTTTTCTGTATTTCTTTCTCAAATTAAGAATATAAAGTTAAAACTAAGATTCTTGATTTACTTATTCCTGTCTGATTATCAATCTATAGAAATGTATAAATGAAATGTGATAGATTATGTGTAGTCAACTGTCATTTTATAATTACATACTGGGATATTTGGGGTACAAACCTGTAGGTGTTTCCTATGTTGATTTCTGTGCTCTATTTCAGAGTGTAACCTCTTAGCTTTTAAATAATTATGTTTTGCAGTCACTGCCAGCAGCGGCCACTCCTTTGTTCTCATGGGCACCACTCCTTCGTTCTCATGGGCGTCGAGGCTGCTCCTCCACTTGCCCTGGGCTGAGGCCACTCTTTTTCCTGCCCTGGGCTGAGGCCGTTCTTCTGCCTGCCCTGGGCTGAGGCTGCTCTTCTACTTGCTCGGTGCTGAGGCAGTTTTTCTGCTCGGCCTGTGCTGCCTCCTGTGGTCGCATTCAGCAGACACAGGAGACAAGGTTCAGTGACACAGGTCTGGTTTATTGCAGGAAGGCACAAGCTTATACAGGGGTAGTGCTCCAATCACAGCACAGCAAGTAGGATACCTTATTAGCACAAAAGGTTTAGCGTCCTATCACAGTACAGCAAGTAGGATACCTTATTAGCATAACAGACTTATCGTCCTATCACAGAATAGTGGGTAGGATGCCTCATTAGCATAATGGGTTTCAGATTACAAAGCCTGGATTCCTGGAAACCACATGACCCTGACTGTTGCAATATCTAAGTGTTGCAATTTGTAATCCCAAGGGTGGTGATTAGGGAGTGGTGAGCTCTAGATATTAGTCTCATGATCTGCCAATGGGAACAAATATCACAAGGCGTTTCTTGTGGCTCCAGTGGTCGGGCTGTTGCCTGGGGCCTGCTGTATGGCTGTCAATAAGACTTTCACCCTAGGCTCAAGCCTGTCTCCCACAATGTTCATGTGCTACAATATAGGCCCTTTTGACCCCAATAGGGCTCAGAGAAAGATGATGATGGTTCAAAGAATCAATCCACTGAGTTCAAACTCTAGGTGAAAATAGTTTTGATTTGTATAGACAACTGAAAACTATGCTTTCATACTTTCCAATTAAAAAATAAAGGACCACATTTGTTGGTCTGTGTTGAGCTAAATCAATGCTGAGCCAATCCTACATGGCATACCCTGACCAACAGCTTATTTTGTCCTTAGCTAGGATGTGTTTTTATCTTCACTGCATTCCTTCAGTTGAGTTTTACCATTTTTATATTGTAGTATGATAGGCAAGAGCATGCTGAAACCATCAAAACTAGCTCAAATCTAGATCTGTCATTTGTAGCTTGTGAGTTTATTTGTACATAGGTTTTTCCATAGATTCCAATGGTTCATCTGTAAGGCATAGATAAAGCTTCCTAAGCTATTAGGATCTATTTGAGTTTCAATGAGAAAATACATAAATTACCTAGTAGTGTGTTTGAAGTACACTAAGAAGCCAGTTACATGTTGGAAATCTTTAAAGAAGAGCACAGATGTTTAATCAATAAAAGGACATCACAAGACAATTCAATGATTTCATGAGGGTACAAAAATCTCTGAGGACCCTAGAAGCCAGAGAGGACTCCAGAGTGATGAGAGCCTAACCAAGCCTCAAGTAAGAAAGATGGCAGAATCCTGGGCATGGGTCTTACGTCACTGTCTGTTTATAGAGAGGCTTGTTATTTCTTCTTGCTTTTTTCTCAACTTAGAAGCATAAATTAGCAGGCACGTAGTGCTAGAACACATTTCATGTCGCAAGTAGTGCTAGAACATATTTCATGTCTAAAATGTTTTTTTTAATGTACTTTAGAATTTAATAAATTCCTCAAAGGGATCGTTAACATGGTAGTTGATTCTTTGATTTTAGCCTTCTTAAATGCATTTTATTTATTTATTTATTTATTTATTTATTTATTTATTTATTTATTTTGACATAGTCTTTCTAGTCCCAGCCCACCTGAAAGTCACTATGTAGACCAGGCTGGCCTTGATCTCACAGAGATCTGCCTGTATCTGCCTCCCAAGGGCTAGAATTAAAGGTGCACACCAACATGCCTGGTGTGTATTATCTATTTTTAAACAACCCTATGGACAATGACATTAAAAAAATTCATGTTTACAATGGAAACTTTCTTTGCTATTCAGCACCTGGACCTGTTGGCACATTTTTACTTTTTAGCACTTGCTGCTCCTATGACACTATTTAAACCTAAATTTTCATTCATCTTCATTGCTCATATTTTATTTTTGTTCTTGAATGTTTATGGGGGAAAGCACTTGATTGAACCCTGATCTTTCTTGCTGTTAAGATATATAAGAGTGTCCATAGCAGAATGAGTCACTTCTTTTTCCTGTTAAATTGTTGGAAATGGAGATAACAATAAAGTTTCCAAAATAAAAATACACACTTCTCATAGTCCATTTTCCTACAAACTCTCTCAGAAAAGTGAGTTAATTTGATTATTTCATTTCTGGAATTCCTAATTTTATAGGCTTCATCTAGAAGTGTCTGATATTTTTACCTGAATGAAGGAAAAACTACTAACTGTGGAGGTGGGTAGGTAGTTATCCTTTACAGTAAGCCACTTCAGCTCTGAGAAATATCTTCAGTTTTCTTCTAATTCATTTTTTTTTTTTAATTCTGGCATGTGGGTATGCCAAAAAGGATTATATCCAAACAATACCAAGTACTATATCAATCATTAGGCCACTTTTGAATTAAGCTCCTTCTCTATTCTATTCCTGTTTCAATTTCATAGAACCTCTATTCTTTTCAAATATGAATTACAAGATATAACATACTCCTAAAATAGTATAGAAATGATGATGTTTGTTTAAAACTACAAGCATAATAGGCATTATACATGTTGCTGCTCTAATGTGTTGTAGACACAGTTAACTCCAATGAGGAAATCTCTCAGTTTAAAGAGGAAAACTTAAAAGATATCTATGATCTTGCTGCCACCCTACATTAAAATTTAATGGACTACAGTGGATCTGTGAACCTTCTTGTTGAGCAGCTTCCCTGATTGTTCTTCTGGACCCCATGTCAGACACAAAATCAGAAATACACACAGATAGCTGTTCTCTTCAGAAAGAGTAGAGAGGTTGTGCTCAGAGGAAGCTCCCACTAGTCAACTAATCTGGTTATCATCAAACCATTTGTGAAGATGTCATCCTATCCCTGACAAGAAAGCAGTGTGACCATATGAGGAACGACAAACGAGGGAATTTGGAAGCAGAAATATCTCTATAAATAAACAGCCCTTTGGCTGCTCCGAGTAGCCAACATATACCTAATACAGTATTCTCTCTTTAGAGAATAATTTCTCTGACTAATTCTTCCTGCCTTGTTATAGGTGCAGCAGAAATACTTCTTAGGATGATTTAAAAATACTCATTAGTGACTCTGGCCACTACCCCCAGTGTTAGAACAAAGTCTGGGTTTATACTTTCCGGCTCTGGGTTTATTTTACGGGCTTGCACTGATCTGAGAATCCTGAGCTCTTTGTAGAGATCTGCTTATGGTCATTGGACAATTTAGAGTAGTGACAGCTAATGTGATGGTGATATAAAGTTTGAAGGGATTGTTTTCTAGCTGGATTTCAACATTGTGTGACTTTTTTTTTTTGCTAATTATTTCTTATAAAAAGTTCACTGCATTTCTGCCATATTTTTAAAATCATATTAAGTAGGCTATTGCGATATCATAACTAAAAGCAATCTGCCTCTCTCTGCTTTCTGTTTCAGTTACAGCCTCGTGGGTGGAAATTCGCAGTTCACCATCAACCCATCCACAGGTCAGATCATCACGAGTGCATTGCTTGACAGAGAAACCAAAGATAATTACACTTTGGTAGTGGTTGCCAGCGATGCTGGGTCCCCAGAGCCTCTTTCCAGTTCTACCAGTGTGTGTGTCACAGTGACTGACGTCAATGATAACCCACCACGGTTCCAGCATCACCCGTATGTCACACATGTCCCATCACCTACTCTTCCAGGTAATCCAACACTGAGGTTATGTGTTGTATGCAGATGGTCAAGCTCTATGAGCAGGACTATCTATAGTCTATATATAGTCTAATATTCAAAATCCTCTTAAAATTCAGGGTGTGAATGAGGTTGAAGAAAATTTAAATTCTAGTATTATAAATTAAAATAATGCCTTTTACCCAGATTAATTGTGTTTAAGACTTTATACCTGTTACACCTTTCCTATTGCTTAATACTCTTACCACAGTAAATGAGCAAAAACAGATAGTCCTTCATAGTCAACAATGGTTCAGCCCTGATGTAGAAGTTGTATGAAAGTTCCCTAAGAGAAGAAACAAGGTCCTTATTTTCATGTCAAATTTTCTGCATTGGAAATTTCATGTGGGAATCAGTAGATATTTCAATATAATTGTTGAAAATAAATATTAAATTTTAATGCTTCTTAAATTTTCAAAATGCTGACTGAACTGCTAATTCTAAATATCAGATATTTTTTATTCTAGTCTTGCTTCTGTTTGCTCACATGCTTATGAGCCCTTCATGGACTTCTGTGATATTAACAACATGCATTTAGATTTCTGCATCTATTTTGTTAGGTTTGGTATCACTTGCTTATTTGTAAGCAGTGGTATGCCCTCTTAGGAACTGAATAGATATCCTGCCATTCGTAATTTTTAGACAAAATTGTAAGCAGTAAAAATTGAAAGTATAACTAATATAATCTTCCTTGCTTGAAAAATACTTTTAGTTAGAAGAGTAAATGAATTGATTCAGCATTTCTCTTCGCATTCTTTGATCTCCTACTAACTTGGAAATGCCTCAATGATTCCAATTTTAAGAATAAAATTCATAAATGAGCATGCCAGCTTTCTGTCAAAAAATGCAAATGGAAAGTCATAATCCCTCTTGAAGTTCTCAGCTGAAAGATTGTGGTAGCATGATTGATTTCATCCAATGTGTGGTATAGAGAGCAGGTGACCTAGGCACAGGGAGGTATCCTGGTCACCTCATTGAATTAATAAGACGCTCTGGCCCTTTTGAAAGACACATACAACTTTATCTTTGTCACAGACACTTCTGTGGGGTGCTGGGAAGGGATTCTGAATGAAACATTGAATAAAAAACATCCTTCTGGAAATTTTTCTGCATATTTCTGCCACAGTCTGTTTATGGGCCACATGCCAAGCACTAAGTCTTGAAATCCAAATTCAGTCCATCTTTCCTCATTTCTTATTCTTACCACTTTATGATGATTTAAATTTATAATACAAACATGTACATACACATACTTTATGTCTTTTCCGTCATAGCTCGGGGATTTAAAAAGAATGTTGCCATGAAACAATGGGTGTGCTGAACACAGCACCGTTTAGGATGCAACATGTTTATTGAGCAGATATCCTCTTGGGAGCCTTCATTCTGCATGATCAGCCACTTCTCCTTCATGGGTTCTCTCAAAGGCATTCTGAATAAAATATTAAATCCAGCAGATTGTTTGGGCTCAGTGAGAAAATCAGCAGTAGGTTCTGAAGTCTCGCCTTAAACATATTTGATTTAAGGATTTCAGAGACAGTAAAGAAGATCCTGCTCTGCCCAAAACAATGAGAAAAAGTTGCATTCAGCAGCAGTTCAGCGTCTTACATGCATTAAATGACCCCCAGCTGTTTTATTTGGATTCCATGTGATTATAACCATAAACTCCCTCTTTTATAGGTTCCTTTGTCTTTGCGGTCACGGTCACAGATGCTGACATTGGACCCAATGCTGAGCTCCATTATTCCCTTTCGGGCAGAAACTCTGACAGATTTCACATCGATCCCCTGAGAGGAGCAATCATGGCATCTGGGCCACTGAGTGGAGCTTCTGAGGTGACATTTTCGGTTCAGGTGAAAGATGGTGGCTCATTTCCAAAGACAGACTCCACCACCGTGACTGTTAGATTTGCCAACAAAGGAGATTTCCCCAAAGTCAGAGCCAAAGAACAAACATTCATGTTTCCAGAAAACCAGCCAGTGGGCACTTTGGTCACCACCATCACAGGGTCCTCTTTGAGAGGAGAAACTTTGTCATATTATATTGCAAGTGGGAACCTGGGCATTACTTTGCAAATTGGTCCATTAACAGGACAGGTGTCCATCAGTCAGCCTTTGGATTTTGAAAAGACACAAAAATATGTTGTGTGGATTGAAGCCAGAGACGGGGGCTTCCCTCCCTTTTGTCTTATGAGAAGCTTGACATTACAGTGCTGGATACCAATGACAATGCCCCGACTTTCAAAGAAGATCCATTTGTGGCTGAAGTATTAGAAAACCTATCTCCTCGAAAAATACTTACTGTTTCAGCAATGGACAAAGACAGTGGGCCAAATGGACAGTTAGACTATGAGATCGTTAGTGGTAACAAAGAAAATAGTTTTACCATCAATCATGCAACAGGTGAAATCAGGAGCATTCGCCCACTAGACAGAGAAAAAATATCTCATTATGAGCTCACTGTGAAGTCTTCAGATAAAGGGTCCCCTTCTCAGAGTACCTCAGTAAAAGTCATCATCAATATTTTAGATGAAAATGATAATGCACCAAGGTTTTCTCAGATATTCAGTGCCTATGTTCCTGAAAATTCCCCCTTGGGATATACAGTCACCAGGGTCACAACTTCCGATGAAGACATTGGCATAAATGCAGTTAGTAGATACTCCATAGTAGACGCAAGTCTCCCATTTACAATTAACCCCAACACAGGAGATATTGTCATTAGTAGACCTTTAAATAGGGAAGATACAGATCGTTACAGGATCCGAGTTTCTGCCCATGATTCTGGGTGGACCGTGAGCACAGATGTCACCATATTCGTGACAGACATCAATGACAATGCCCCAAGATTCAGCAGACCCTCTTATTATTTAGATTGCCCTGAACTTACTGAGATTGGCTCCAAAGTGACTCAAGTATCAGCTACAGATCCCGATGAAGGGTCAAATGGACAGGTGTTTTATTTCATCAAATCTCAGTCAGAATATTTCAGAATCAATGCCACCACTGGTGAGATTTTCAATAAGCAGGTGTTAAAATACCAAAATGTCAGTGGTTTGGGTAATGTGAACATTAACAGGCATAGCTTTATTGTGACCTCTTCAGATCGAGGCAATCCATCCTTACTCAGCGAGACTACAGTTACCATCAACACAGTAGATAGCAATGATAACCCACCTCAGTTTCTTAAAAGTAAATATTTTACTCCGGTCACCAAAAATGTCAAAGTTGGCACCAAGTTAATCAAAGTGACTGCGGTGGATGACAGAGATTTTGGACTGAACTCTGAAGTGGAGTATTTCATGTCTGATGGGAATCACTTCGGGAAGTTTAAATTGGACAATGATACAGGATGGATTTCAATAGCATCTTCCTTGATTTCTGACCTGAATCAAAACTTCCTGGTCACAATAACTGCAAAGGATAAAGGCAACCCCCCACTTTCTTCCCAAGCAACTGTTCACATAACAGTCACTGAAGAGAACTACCACACTCCTGAGTTTTCTCAGAGCCACATGAGTGCCACCATCCCTGAGAGTCATGGCATTGGGGCTGTGGTCAGAACTGTCTCTGCCAGGGATCGGGATGCAGCCATGAATGGGTTGATTAGATATGACATTTCTTCAGGAAATGAAGGGGGCATCTTTGCAATTAATTCCTCTACAGGTGTGTTAACACTGGCCAAAGCCCTTGACTATGAGCTATGCCAGAAACACGAGATGACAATCAGTGCCACAGACGGAGGATGGGTCGCAAGGACAGGCTACTGCAGTGTGACTGTGAACGTGATTGATGTGAATGACAATTCTCCAGTGTTTGCTCCTGATGAATATTTCCCTACTGTTTTAGAAAATGCCCCTAGTGGAACCACAGTCATTTACTTAAATGCAACAGATGCAGACTCTGGAGCCAACGCTGTCATTGTGTACAGTGTGCAGTCATCCGACAGTGATCTGTTTGTCATTGACCCCAACACAGGGGTCATTACCACCCAAGGCTTCCTAGATTTTGAAACCAAGCAGAGCTACCATCTCACTGTGAAAGCCTTCAATGTTCCTGATGAAGAAAGGTATAGCTTCGCCACCGTGAATATTCAGCTGAAGGGGACAAATGAATACGTGCCTCGGTTTGTTTCCAAACTGTACTACTTTGAAGTTTCAGAAGCAGCTCCCGAAGGGACTGTGATTGGAGAAGTGTTTGCCAGTGATCGGGACATGGGTACTGATGGGGAAGTACACTATTTGCTCTTTGGGAACAGTAGGAAGAAGGGTTTCCAGATCCACAAGAAGACGGGGCAGATTTATGTGTCTGGACTTCTTGATAGAGAGAAAGCAGAAAGAGTGTCCTTGAAGGTCTTGGCCAAGAACTTCGGCAGCATTCGGGGAGCAGATATAGACGAAGTCACTGTGAATATCACCGTGCTTGATGCCAATGACCCACCAGTGTTTAGTCTAAACATCTACCGAGTCCAGATCAGTGAAGGGGTCCCAACTGGGACACATGTGACCTTTGTGAGTGCCTTTGACTCTGACTCTATCCCTGACTGGAGCAGGTTTTCTTACTTCATTGGATCAGGGAATGAAAACAGTGCCTTTTCCATTAACCCACAGACAGGCCAGATCACAGTTACCTCAGAGCTAGACCGGGAAACCCTACCTGTTTATAATCTCACCGTCTTGGCTGTGGATTCAGGGACCCCTTCGGCGACAGGAAGTTCTTCCTTGCTAGTCACTCTGGAAGACATCAATGATAACGGGCCGGTGTTGACCATCAGTGAAGGGGAAGTTCTAGAAAACAAGCGCCCAGGAACTCTGGTGATGACCCTTCAGTCCACGGATCCTGACCTCCCCCCAAATCAAGGCCCTTTCACCTACCATCTGCTGAGCACAGGGCCAGCCACCAATTATTTCAGTCTGAATACTGCTGGAGTTCTGAGTACAACCAGGGAGATCGACAGGGAACAGATCTCAGACTTCTATCTGTCTGTAGTCACTAGAGATTCTGGGGCTCCTCAGATGTCTTCCACTGGAACAGTGCACATCAGTGTTCTAGACCAAAATGACAACCCCTCACAGTCCCGTACAGTGGAGATATTTGTTAATTATTATGGCAACTTGTTTACAGGTGGGACTTTAGGCTCTGTGAAGCCTCAGGATCCAGATGTGTTAGACAGCTTCCACTGTTCCATCACCTCAGGGGTCACCAGCCTCTTCAGTATTCCAGTGGGTAGCTGTGACCTGAGCTCCCAGCCTAGGTCCACTGATGGCACCTTTGATCTGACAGTCCTCAGCAGTGATGGAGTTCACAATGCAGTCACCAACAATATCCGAGTGTTTTTTGCTGGATTCTCCAATGTTACAGTGGACAACAGCATCTTGCTTCGTATAGGTGTTCCCACAGTTAAGGACTTCTTGACTAACCACTACCTTCACTTCCTGCGCATTGCTGGTTCCCAGCTCACTGGCTTGGGCACGACTGTGCAACTGTACGCGGCTTATGAGGATAGCAACAGAACGTTTCTCTTAGCAGCTGTGAAGGGAAATAATAACCAGTATGTGAACCCTAGTGGCGTAGCCACCTTCTTTGAAAGTATCAAAGAGATTCTTCTTCGACAGAGTGGAGTCAAGGTGGAGTCTGTCGATCATGACCCATGCATTCACAGCCCCTGTCAGAACGGGGGCAGCTGCATCCGAAAATTGGCAGTGGGGTCTGCACTGAAGAGCCAGGAGAGTCTGCCTGTTATCATTGTGGCCAATGAGCCTCTGCGGCCTTTCCGGTGCAAATGCGCACCAGGCTATGCCGGCAGCTGGTGTGAAGTAGACATTGACGAATGCCTTCCAGCCCCTTGCCACAATGGCGGGACCTGCCACAATTTAGTGGGGGGATTTTCATGCAGCTGCCCTGACGGCTTCTCTGGGAGAGCCTGTGAGAGAGACATCAATGAGTGCCTGCCCAGCCCTTGCAAGCATGGGGCTGTCTGCCAGAATTTCCCAGGAGGCTTCAACTGTGTGTGTAAAACCGGATACACAGGTATGGCAGCATGTTCTTTCCTATGTGGCATCAGGTTTCTTTCCAAAGATTTTAGACATGGAAAGTCTATAGTGGAAAGTAATGACTGTGGTCATTTTGAAAATCATTTCTATTTTTAAAGTGTTAAGTCAGACCTAGTGGGCCATATGACAAATCATGTACCTCAGAGGAAGAAATTACAAAAAAATACTTTCACTTGGTATATTTTCCTTCTTTTTATTTTATAGTCTCTATTCATATTCTTTAAAAAATATTTTATTTGACTGGGCTGGAGAGATAGCTTAGAGGTTCATAGCACTGGCTGCTCTTTCAGAGGACCCGGGTTCGTTCCCCAGCACCCACATGGTGGCTAAGAACCATCCTTAACTCCGGTTCTAGAGGATTTGAGGCCTTCTTCTGACCTCCATGGGTACTGCATGGCACAGGTGCATCTAGCTACATGCAAGAAATATGCACTCTTACACATAAAATAACATAAAATATTTGAAAAATATTTTATATGTATTGCTTGCATGTAGGTAGGTGTGCCCATGTTGTGCAATGCCTGTAGAGTCAGCAGAGGGCACCTGATTTCCTGCAACTGGAGTTACAGATGGTTAGCTGCCATATGTGGGTGCTAGGAAACAAACATGGGTCCTCTGCAAGAACGGCCAGTGTGCTTAACCACTGAGCAATCTCTCCAACCAGCTCCTTATTCTTATTTTTCTTCTATATATGCTTCTTTCATATGTCCTATATTTTACTTTCTAAGTAACAGAATTATTTGTATTTAGAGAGTACTAGAGGACATTACCTTCCATGAAATAAGCCAAGCACAGAAAAAACTATGAAAATAAATTTCAAGCATTGAACCCTTTATTCTCTCGTGGGAGTTGCTCCTACATATCTTAAAGGACTCTTCATTTAAAAAGACTTTATTTGTTATTTTAATTTTATGTGTATGAGTGCATTGCCCACATGTATGTAAGTGTACTTGCTGTACAATGCCTGTGAGGGTCAAAAGCAGACATCAGATTCCCCTGGAACTGGAGTTAGGAATGATTATTAGTTGCCATGTGGGTGCTGGGAATCAAATCCAGGTCTGCCGCAAGAGCAATCAGCACTCTTAAACACCGAGCCAACTCTCCAACCCCAGGATTTTCATTTGATAATTGTCCACTGAATTTCTTTTAGATTTCATACTATTTATTGCACATAGTGATGTGTTTCTTAAACACATTTTCATACATAACATATTTATGTCCATTGGCCATATTCACCATTCCCTCCCTTTTGCCCATTTCCTCCTGCCATTCATTCCTAGACTGTTGTGTTCCTACTTCCATATA